TAGTATTCATCAACTGAAGAATGGATAAAGAAACTGTGGCACATTTACACAATGGAATACTACTCAGCTATTAAAAATGAGGAAATCATGAAATTTGCAGGCAAGTGGTAGAAACTAGAAAAAAAATTATCCTGAGTGAGGTATCCCAGAAGCAGAAAGGCACCCATGGTATATATGCACTTATTAATGTATAGTAACTATAGAGTACAGGATAGTCAGACAATTCACAGAACGAAAGCAGCTAAGTAACAAGGAAGGCTTGAATGTCACTCAGAAGGGGAAATAGAATAAAAAGTGGAAGTGAATGAAGAGAAAGAACAGGGTAGCAAAGCATTATTTTTTACTTCAGCTTTATCATAAAATTAAAATATGTACAGACATTGGCTTTACTATGATAGAATTTGGTACTATCTCATACTTGTATTTTGAGTTACCTACTTTTTTATTGTCTTCTGATATACAATAAATATTCAGCTTCTCTGTAAGAAGTGGAAGAAATATTGCAGCCCAGTCACAAATGATGTTTTTAAGGTGAAAAGCCTAGAAAGGCCAAGTGTGGCTAAGCCAACTTCTCACTGAGTCTAGGAAGTTATGAGTAAGCACTTCCTTTCACATAGTCTGGCAAAGAACTTTATATTTATCAAACTCTATACAAAAATACAATGTTCTCATGTCCAGTTTTCATAAATTAAAATGTTTGTAATCAATTTTTATTTTCCTGAAAATTGCATGTGATTTTTCCTACTTTGTTACTTGGGCCCCTGAACATACCATTATCCTTGGCTCATGTCCTTCGCTTAGAAGAGATATAGGCTTGGTTTTCTAAATTTATGGTTCCTTCCTTTAAGGATGAACTGCTTCAGAAGAAATAGACATTTGGTCTCACTTACCAACTGTAGTGGTTTGAATGAGAACGCCCCCCCCCCCCCCATGGGCTCATGTATTTGAATGGTTAGTTCCTAGTTGGTGGAACTGTTTTGGGAAGGATTAGAGGGCATGATCTTGTTGGAGATTGTCACCAGGGGTAGGCTTTAAGGTTTCAAAAGCCTATGCCTGGCCCTGTCCGGCTCTCTCTGCCTCCAGCTACTGCTTCAGCACCATACCTTCCTGCCTCCTGCCATGGTGCTCGTAGACTAACCATCGGAAACTGTAAGCAAGCCTCTAATCAAATGCTTTCTTTTATAAGTTGTCTTGGTCCGAATGTCTCTTCACAGCAATAGTAAAGTAACTAAGGTACCTACTAAAATCTCCAAGAGCCCACCAGCAGGACTTCAGCTATAATAAGGAAGGATGATAGCAACGCTGCAGGGCCAGAAACCAAGAGTCAAGACAGTTGCCTTGGCAATAATTAAATTGTGAAGATGATTGTTTAAATGTCAATAGGCACTGTGAATGATTATCTGAATGCCTCTCTGAGCTGCATGTCATCACCAGCAAGTACTAAATTTCTCATAAGCCTCACAAGTTCCGGTAAATATGGAAAGAAAGTTTGGTTTTGTGTGGAGACTTTGTAGACATCAGGTTCCTAAGCAGCTCTGGCACAGCAGTCTGGACCTACTTGTTGTTTGTGTATGTCTCTTGGTACCAAAACAGAAGTTGCTTAATAGATTTCTGTTGGATGCAACAAAACACAGCACGTTAGTGGGTGAACTAGGAAGGCTACATGACTCCAGGTTGAGGACTCTGTGTCCAGATGCTTCATTTTGCTTAGCATTCAGGGAAGCTGACTAGGGAATGTGGGCCAGGTTGGTGCATGAGGAACATGTTATATCAATGACACTATGAGGTCATGTCCTCATGGGACTTCTTAGGCAGAGGTTTCAGCAGGGGCAAGTGTGGAAAGGGAGAGCCATGAAAGACATGCCAGGCATAGCCTAGGGAGACTTAGGGACCTGTGGCCTTGGGGTAGGGGTACTTGCATGAACTCTCTAGGCTGGTTAGGCCTGAAGACCCCAGAAATTATTTTCTTCAATGTTGTCATTTACTGTGCTCTGACCGAGTGCTAGGCATTCTGCATATATCATTTTCCTTAGAAAAAATTACATGAGCCTGGAAAAATTACATGTTGGTGCTGAAAGCACACTAGGTTGGTAGATCCTAGCTTATCTTCATGCGTGACTCAGAAAGGTGAATGGCCCTTCTCCACTCGGCGTGTTTAGAAAATGAGACTAATGAACACTTTGACCTCACAGTGTCATTGGAAGAAGTAAGCAAGATTGTAAAGACTGGCTTAGCACTTAGGTAGCCTCAGCACTCAGTGTTTCTGCCATCATTACCATTATTATCATTGTGTATTTCTGCAGTCCCATCTGGCCAGGGACAGTCAGCATCACCATTCTGTAACACGTGCTCTACATGATGGCCATAAATGACCATAGAGGGCATGAGGGTCTTGTGCTCACAGAAAACCACTAGGGAAAGCAGAGAGTTAAATATGTAAGGTTGGCTCGGCATGGTGGTGCACACCTTTAATCCTAGCAGTTGGGAGGCAGAGGCAGGTGGATGTCTATGAGTTCGAGGCCAGCCTGGTCTACAAAGTGAGTATGATATACTAAGAATCAGGACCACTGTGAGGTCACACTAGTGAAACCTAAATAAAACTTGGAATGAAAGACAGGTGTGGTGGCTCATTTCTTAGTTTAAGCATTTAGGCTGAGGCAAGTAGATCACTACAACGTGAGTGAGGCTTTACAAAAACCAAACCAAAGCAGAAAACCTTGGCATGTGTTTTCCATTTAGTGAGTAGCCAAGATGGGGTAGCTAGGTCTGCGCGCATGGTATCATCGTGTGCAGACTCTGACACTCAGCCACAGCTGAGATCTTACGTCCCCTTTGAAATGTCTGCGAAACACTTCCCAATAATCATCAGCATTGATGCCAGAAGAGTGAACCTCACTCTGCAGCTGTTTGCTGGATGCTGGTCTGTGTGAGCAGGAGCATGAAAGCACCACTGTCAGCTGCCTCCGGGACAGAGGAATCCTTCTGCTCCTCAGAGCGAGGGACTACCTCTCTCCGCAGGTGCTGGGCGAGTTACTGTGGTCTGCTGAGATAAGAGTGATGCTCAGAAGCCTCTAAGCACATTGGAAGACTTTTGCAAATTAAAGACTTTGAACTGATAATTGTGTGCACAAGGTCATGATTCTTTAAATAGGTTTGTTTCATTCTCTGCCTTTGATGCCATACATAAGCCAAGAAATAAATCTAATTGGGTAAGCAGATTACTCACTTTTAATAAAGTATTGAAAAATGTGCTAAAAGACCATATAGACCCTCTTGATACATAAAACTGTGAAATGAAAATTTACTATGTATCTTATGACCCTTTCAATCAATATCTCTGAAGACTCCCCTTTCCCTAGGGTTCTGCATCTCTCAGGGGCTTAATTTCCTCTGATGTTAAATAGTGGCGATCTTTTTCACCCCCTCAGATTCCTGCTCCTGACTGCTGAAGAGGGCTGAAGGAAGCCCTGTGTGTCTTTTCCTCTTTGTATCTTAGGCATAAGAAAAGGATTCCTCTGGCTAGGATGACGGTTTGTTAAGTAAGGGGGCTTACCTTCACACAAGAGATGGGGGACATGGGCATGTCCAAAACACAGTAAGCCTGTTTGCCACCTTATGTCAAGTGAGAAGGAGAGCCAAGGTCTGCTTGTTTTTGTGAAGTCTGCCTTGATTGGAAGATCTCTCATCTTCCTCTCTAGAGGCACACCTTTCTTTTCCCTTCTGTAGCTTTCCCCAGTTCCACTGTGACTGCCCTTGTGAGGCTGATCAAGATGAAATCTCTCCTGAAGAGGCAGGGAAAGAGCCTGGAGTGGGGTTTACACACTGCTGCCACCATGCATAGTAACCCTTTACATGCCACAGACAGCCCCTTGTGGCTTGGGTCCAGCAGAGCCCTTTGCTTCTGCCTCCCCAGGAACTGCTGGTCTCCAGTGTGGATCCTGCCAACCAGCAGCCTTGGCTAAAGGGAAGAGATAGGTCCCATAGGGGAAAGAGCCGAATATAGGGCGGCATTGGGCATAAAGTATGAATGGAAGTATTTACTGGATCTTAAATAATAGCCAGTTGGCTATAGTTGGCATTATATTTAATATTTTTCATTTCAACAAAAAAAGGAAAAGACCATGGGCTATAGGGATGCCTCAGTGGTTAAGAATGCCTACTGCTCCCGCAGAGGACCTGATTTCAGTTCACAGAACCCTTGACTGACAGCAAACAACTGCCTGTAACTCCCTGGAATATTGAAGTCTGCTTAGAGACATACCTGCAGCCATGTCAGCTTCCATTTTGTTTCAAAGGTGAAATTAAGTTCAATATTTTAAACTTTTCAACTCTGCTTCCTGGAAGCAGTGTTCATAGCTGGCACTAGCAGACCCTGCCAGAGCCGACCTTTTACGATTCAATAGTGCCATAGCTCATGCTTCATTATCTGTTAGCTTGGCTGCACTCTTCTCTACACACCTGGCTACACTTTGGATGCCCTCTAGAAGACTCTAAGCCTCACCTCAGTTACCTCACTCAAGACCAATCAGCTTAAAGGTTAGATGGTAGTACTTTGTCTACTTAGCCAAAGTGTTCCTGCCCTCCCCACGTAGTTTGTTCTTTCTATAGAAACCCTGCTGTGAGAACTTGTAGATGTTACAGTTAGGCTCCCCAGTTCCTTTCTGTGTCCCTGGTAGTGACCAGTTTGGGGGTATTGCATTCACTATTCAATAAACCATTCATACCTGAGACTGGAGTCTGAGTGGTTTGTACAGCTATTCTTGAGCTAGAACATACTAACATGCACATAACCACATGCAGAAACACATAAGCACACACAATTTAAAAAGAACAGTTGTTTATATGTGCATATATGTACATGTGGGCCCTGGGAGTAAGACTCAGATCACAAGCTGAGGGGCAAGTGCCTCTACCCACTGAGCTGTCCCACCCAACCTAAGGCTTCAAGAATACTATCCCTTTTAGTCCTGAGAACATAGAACACAACTTGACAAAAATCATTTGTCATCTACAGATACATCTTTATTAGGAATGAGCCCTTCTCACTGAAGACCAGAGAAGGGACCTGCAGCCCCACCACAACTGAACATCATATCAAGACATCAAAGCAAAATGTCAAAGTATGAATGGAAGAAATTATTTGGGACAGTGTTTTGAAAACGACTTCTCACAGGCATTCTTGGAAGGAGGGTTCTGCAATTCTGCATTTCATATTTAATTTTGTAGTCCAGCTGGGATCAACACACAGCATAGCACAGCTGCTTGGGATTTTCTGGGCAGCAGTCTTTACTGACAGCTGAATGAGCCATCTGCTGGGCTGTCTGTCGGTGTGGCCACAGTGACCACCTATGCTCAGTTGTTCTTCATCTGATTTCTCAAACAGCATCCTTGCACAACTGCCTCAGAGCCGTGACTGCTGAAGTGGGATGGGTGCGTGCATGCAGGGGGGAAGTGCATGGGTGTGACTGGAAAACAAATGTACAGTCCCATTGATTTGATAATAGTTTACAAAGCAGAGGTCTTCAAAATTATTTCAGCTGACCAGCAGGAGCAGAAAACCAGCAACAGGTTCACTGGAGATTTAGATAAACTTGGTTGAAAAGCCTGAGCTTAGAGGTAGAGACATGCTGGCACATGAAGAATGGATAACCAAACCAGTGTGGTCTACTAAGCTTCTTGGCCCCATGGTTAAAAGGCAAATTGCAACAGTTTTAACACTGAGGAAAAGGAGAAATAAACGCTGTTTTTGTTCAGAATCCAAGTCACCAGGAAATACTGATGTGCTCTCTGATGTAGGTCGGCTCTCGGGGGCATCAGCCATCAGCATGGCTGGACAGCTGCTCTCAGATGAGGTCTGCATGGCAAGAAAGAGACAAAGAACTAGATTTCATAGCACAGATTGGTGCAGCTTCCTCTTCCACTGCCAGACACCCCCCTCTAATCATTTAGATGTGCGTGTTATGGGTGGCCTTTGAAAGAGTTGCCAGGAAAACAGGGACCAGATAGGACGCTGGCAGGCTCCCGAGGTGGCACCTAGCAGAGAGAGCTGGGGAAATGGCACTTTCATATTGAATCTCAGCCTGAACTGCTAAGCATGTTCTAGAAGAGAGGCCAATGGGTACCGCTAACTGTTTTTAATGATTTAGAATTCAGCATGAGCCCAGAAAGCTAAGAGCAGGCACAGTGCTCCTCAGCTGTGATGTTGCAAATAGGGACCCAAAGATGAATACTGACTATTGTAGGTCCGGAGACCCAGCTGTATTTTTCAGTCCTCCCTTCTCTTACCATGGTGAGCGGCCACAGTCAACATGTGTAAATTGCCAAAAGGATACATTGTTGATCTGTGAGTGATACAGCCTCTCGGAATACTTTATGCTAAAGAATCATTACTTTCTTTTGAATTCCAATAAAATTATCCTTTGGAGCCCATTCTTAAATTCTTTTATGAGTAAAGCTAAAAACCCTGAGGGGACCCTAACTTTTCTCAGTATCACTGGTTCCTTTCTAAACAGTCTCCTGTAGTTTTCTGCTGGGCCAAAGATCTCCTTTAGGTTTTCGATTTGGCATTTGAGAAGTCAATTAGATCCCATATAAATACAAGAAGATCAAACAAACAGATGCTCCATTTCACATGGCACTAAAATCACATACCTTTTCATGGCCTCTGTGTTGTGGCCTGTCTACATTTCTTACTTCCTGCCTTTTCTCAATCTTGATTTCTGTTTATCCCTTGGCAGTGCTTTTTCTTGCTTCCCAAATCTCCCTCTTTCATCTTTAGCTAGCTGAGTTCTTGTCAGTCAGCTGCTGTTGAGAAAGACCCTCTTCAGCCTTCCTTAGGTGCCAAGTCCCCCTCCCCCCATATTCCATCACATTATTCTACTTGCTTCTGGAATGATTCACTCATTTGTGATAGGTCTACCTCTATGGACTGTAAGGTCCATGTTATCTTTTTGTGTATTTATGTCTAGTGCCATGTGGACTCTCATCAGTACAATTTATCCCTTGTAAAATTTTATCAGTAAGTGTTGCCCCGTTTCTCAGACCACCCCCACCCAGAATGTCCTCCTACAGCATAACAGAAAGTGGCAGCAGAATGCCACTGTCCCGCAGTGGCCTGGGGCAGCCTCACCTGCCACCCCCTCGATTACTGGAGAGCTCCAATCTGCTTCAGCCTGGTCATCAGCTCCCCATTCTGCTGCATGGCGACCAGATCGCTGCATCCACCTATGCAGTCTTTACCAATGAAGACCCGAGGGACCTGCAGAAACAAATCCAATACTAGTTAAGGAGCCTCTGACTAGTTTAACGGTCCCCAGGGCTACCCACCATGCTAAGCTCTACAAACTGCTTTACTCCTCTGACAGGTTTTTTGAAACAATACTCTAAGAGTAGAAATAGTTGTTGAAAAATGTTAGAGCTGAGTTGCAGCTCAGAGGCAGCTACTGGGCATTTGTTGACTCTTCAGCCCTAGGTGGGAAAAAAGTAAAATGTTTTTCAGATCGCACACGAGGCTGCTTTCTGGTTTCCCTGCAGTTGGAACCAGACCTGAGACCTTATCCTGGGCCACAGCAATCAGGAGCATGTTTCTTAGTGCAGCCGGAAGCTAGGTCCAGGCTTATTAACTATTGCACCTCCTGTTATTAACACACAGGTGAGCTGCCCCCAGCTGGAAGACAGTGCTGTGATGGTTGAGAGCCTTTTAATCCCTCGCCTGTGGTCAAATGCCTAAGTGTTGTAGCTCCGGCTCCAAGGATAGTGATCTGTTCTTGCTTCTTGGCCAGACTGACATGGTTACTGTACTTGTGGAATGGGTTCCTCTCCGTCACTGCCGCTCCACAGTTCAGTCACTTGTGGGAGTGACAGTTGAAGAGCACTTTAGACCCCCTAGGAAGGAGGAAGTGCCTTCCTTGTGGCCAAGTAATTTCTAAACCAGAGATGTCACATGAAGGCACTGGCAAGTGAAGAGGCAAGTGATCAGGAAGTGACAGGCCTGCTGAGCCCAAGGAACATACCTGACAGACGGGGTGGGGGAAGGGCAGACAGAGTGAGAATGTTTCTCAGAGCATCCTGTTTTCCTCAGAAGGTATAGAACTTCAAAGTGAATTACTTAAAATGTGAGAAGGTTGAGAAAAGAGGTTAAATTACTGTGGATAAATTCTAGTAGCATGTTTTTTGTTTTTTTTTTTGAGGGGAGGGAGATGTGCAAGGAGAACTGAGCTTTAAAAAATAGAAAGTCGATAACTAAACCAAAATCCTGTGACACAATCCAAATTATTTAAGCTATCTCCTTGCCCAAGAATTAGAAAACAACCCGCAGAACCCCTTGCTGGCCGATCAGCCTGGTAAGTATTGTCAGTCCCAGGAAACTGACTGCCATTCACACTTGAATTCTGTGTGGCTGTGTGGGACATTTTGTAAAGGAAAGTGACACAACCTTGCTTCTGCTAGTTACAAGAGAAAAATGCAGAAAGACAAGGCATCAAGGAGAGGAATGCAGGAAGATGAGGCAAGAAGCCTAAAATCTCCACGGAATGCTGGTCCCCTTTCAAACACTGGTCTACACAGAACAGTGATGGGGACCCTCCCCTAACACACAAACACACACCCTCTCCCACCCCCCTTGAAACCTGAGACAGACCCTGAAACATGATCCAGCTGTCTCCAGGATGAAGATTTTGTACAGTCTGGCAAGAGGCTAGTTTGTCTGAAAGCCTAAAGGAACCTTGCCCTCCTACCCGGACCCCTGTGGTCTGGTCATCAGCAAAGCTGCCTTCAGTCAGGCAGAGGAAGAAGAGGAAACTATCTGTCACTCAAACCTCTGGCCCACCCCTCTCTTGAGAGGAGGCAGAGTAACCTACTGTTCAGGGTAGGAAGAATCTCTACCCTAACCACGCTTGGTAACATTGAGTTTCTGGAGTGCGTTTTTCTCAGTATTCTCTGCACTCTAGAGTCTTTCTCCTGTGTGTGGCCAAAGACTGACACTGAGCGTCTTCCTTGATTACATCTGTTTGTCTGTCTGTATCTATCTATCTATCTATCTATCTATCTATCTATCTATCTATCTATCTATCTATC